ACCCTAAGCCCAAAACCTAAACCCCATAAGCCCGAAGCCCAAACCCTGGACCCTCAACCCCAAAACCCCAAGCAGGTCCCCCAGCCTCAGGGCTTTTTCACCTCATCCAGAGGAACACAGCTCCCCGCTCTTAGCAGCTTCGGGTTTAGGGATCTGGGTGTGGCATTCATTCACCTGTCCCTCATTTTCCTGTAACTGAAACACGGACAATGAGGGGAGAGCAAAAGGTGGTCATTTGTCTTTGTGGCTTTGCGATCTGGGATTGCTGCGGGCTGATACAGAAGTATACATCGTTCGTTTTTACCATGTCAACGGGCTTTTATTCCAGTTACAGTACAGGGTCTAGGGTTTAGGGTTTGGCATACCCAGGCGCTCTAGTCTTCTACCTCTTACTGCCTTTGGTGTCAAGAGGCTGGCCTCATACTTTGGGGTCCTCGGTGTCCGCTCGGCCACGCTGCGGATTTAGGGTTTAGGGGTTTGCGTAGGTTTTGAATAAGCTCGCCACCCCAAACAAATCCAAACACACCACCAACTCCCAGGCCCTAAGCTCTGAACCCCGAATCCTTAAGCCTAAGCGAAGTATCTGATCGGGTTGTGGTTTTAGCATCGTTCCGTCTGCCGGGTCGGCCTTCATCCCCTCAGTCCGACTCCTAGTATCTTCAAAAACCTCCAGAAACCCTAAACCCTAAACCCGAAATCCGAAACCCGACTCGCTCAGCCATGTAGGAGGCAAAAAAACCCGAAACCCGAAACCCTAAACCCTGAACCCGAAACCCGAAACCAATCTCTTACCATGCAGGCCTTAGGAAACCTGGGGGCTGAGCAGGAAGCCTCAAGCCCGGTTCGGCGGATCGATACTCCCCCATTAGGTTTAGGGTTTGGGGGATACTCCCCCTTAAGGAACCATATATAGGGTAAAGATCAGTCTGCATTACGGTCCCCACTCTTCCCGAAACTGGCCAATTGAGGGCGTTTTGGGGTTAGTGTGTTCAAGTTGGGTTTGATTGTGCGAAACGCTCCAGCTCAAGTGGCCTTGCGACCCATGTTTCGCAGTCCCGCTACCGGTTAGAGATTCAGGGTGTCATTCTACTGTGTTTGAGCTTTAAGCGAAGCGGCACCCGAGCCGCCGACACTTATATAATTCCCACCAGGTTTTCGAGTAGAAAGTTGGCAGCGTCTGGATGATGCTAAAGCGAAGCAGTGTAAAAACCTGAATATTTGCAAACATATACAAATATTATCCCTTAGGGTTCCATAATAGCGCTATACTGTAATGCGCTAGAATACCCCCCAAACCCTATTCTGATTACTCAGGACCCTACCTTAGTGTTGCACAACTGATTTTATATAGCCCCAACCCCATAAACCTTTAGCATCTCTGTGTTCGGAGGACATCTTGGTCTACCTGTCTTTGATCGACTTTCTGCAAGTCTGGACCACTGGCAAGCGCGTGGCGAGGCCCGGAACCATGAGCTGCAAAGCAACCCTTGCACACGATAGGGCCTTCATCAAACTAGAATCGGGGATTGTGTATTTAAACTACAGTAAGGATAATACGGAAGCCCTTCATAAACTAGAATGGTAGTTTGGGTGTGCTGTATAATCTGATCTAGAAATACGCGCATAATCTTCAGGACCCGGTGAAACCTCGAAATCCTGCACCGAATGGTTTGAGCTGTAGGGTTTGAGTGTGTATGCTGCAGACTTCTGGATGCCTGGATGCTTCAGAGATTCACGCAGTCAAGGACATAATTTATCCAGCCTTCATGCGATAATTAAGATTTCAACAAGAAGCAGCATTTGAACGTACAGTCACCTCTCTCTGGAAAGTCTCGAATGGCTCTCTTCCTGGACTAATTACCTTTTGCTGTACTTACTGCCCAAATGCCACAAACACCAGTAGCAGCATCCCGTTGTAGACCCTGTGTATTTTGACTAGAGACGGAAGCCCGGAAAGCCCCGATTAGGCTCATGCGGTTTGGGGAGTTTAGGGGTTTGGGGTTTAGGGTTTAGGGCATCGCCTTGGCCTTACAGTGAGTGAGTGTCGATGCTCGCCTTACAGTGAGCGAGTGTGCTGGGGACCGGGCTGCTGTGTACGAGGCCTGCTGTAAAAGGGCATCGCCTTGGACTTGGGGCTTGCAAGCTTTCTAGGTCTGCAGCCCCTCTCTTAGGCCTCTCTTCGCCCCTTCCTTCCAATCCCAGTCAGGTGCATCAAGGTCTGCGAGTGCAACAAGGCCATGGTTTTCTTTGGAGTTTGGAACAAAAGCCCATTTGTAAGGAAACTTCGAGCTAGGGTCGTTTTAGGGCCTACACTACATGGCAAGCCTCAGCAGTCCCAGTTCCCGCAAATCACTGAACTCTTCACCCTAAACGCCTGGATTATTTATCTTAATCCTTATCCTGTTTGTAACAAAATTCGAGGGGTAGTCTTTTAGCTTCGCACTGACGATCCTTAGAAGGTACTGCACCAAGATGCTTCGCGGGTAGGTTGCGTTTGCTGGACTTGTCACCTGCCATGTAGTGTCGAGCCCCCCGAGGTGCCAAGCGGAGCCAAACGAACGTATCGATTACTTCAGCATTGAAAGGCTTGCAGATCTACGGTTTGTGTGCTCCGCTACAGCCTTTCTAGCACCAATCCGTGATTCCCATAAGGAACGCTCACAGGGACTCTTATAGGAACCTGTAAAGGAAATCTTACAGGCACCCTTGCAGGAAACCTGATGGCAGAATGTCGGGATTTCTAGGAATCCTGAAAGGAGCCCTGGTAGGGACACTGATAGGAAACCTTCTGGGAACTTGCAAAGGAACCCTGATCTAAACTTGCCTACACACCGCTCCCACAGAAAGAATGAACCCTAAAACCCTAAACGCCTAAACCTCAGCACCCTCAACCCTCTGAGGCAACGATTCCGCCAAAGGCGTACGCAAATCGCATGCTGACGCACTTCACCCACCAAGTCGTCGAGGCCAGAGCCTAGAGCCGCCTGTTGCTCCTTCGAGGGATTCCTTCAAAGCGGAGCCTATGCTAGAACCCTAAAGGGGGCCCTACTCTAGAACCCTATACTACCCTTATAAGGGTTAGTTTAAGGGCCTAGGAGGGTTTTCTTTAAGGGTTTCTTGGAGGGCTTTGGGTTTGAGGTTTTAGTGCTTGGTGTTACGTACCCCGAGAGTCCTGGCATGAATTAAGGGTTTGCAGTTTATGGGTTTAGGGTTTAGGGGTCTGCCGTGGGTCTAGGACATTTTCAGGTGGGTAGTTACCGTTATAGGAGCGTTATAGGCGCCCTATATGCCCCAAGACTCCCCACCTGTAGTTTCCTTTAATTGAGGTTTCAACCCTTTTGGGTATTTGAGGGTGGGGGCACAGCTCTAATTTGATACCCTCGACCCAACTCGAAAAGAGATGCAGCCCTCGACACAGTAGTTTAGACATGTTTCAACAAAGTTTTGTTGTAATGTACACCCGCGATTATGATTAAGAACTCCCTTCCCGTAAGAAGGATTACAAGAGGGATCCCATATCAGGCCAGAACAGGTGCTTGCAGAAAGGGGTAACTCGGGGATAACACCCTGAACGCTAAACCCACCCTTAAACAATCGTCAGTCCCAAACCGCAAACACCCTGGAAATGCGTAACCCTAAACCCTAAACCCTAAACCCTAAACCCTAAACCCAAAGAGTGTAGGGCTCAGGGCTTGAAGGGTTTTGGAAAGGACGGCTCAGCCGCAGATCCTGAGGATATCGACTTTGCGGTGGCACCTCGGTATTGATGAAAAGCAACTGGGGGTTTCCGATGAGTAGGGGTACCTTATTTTGGGGTCCTTATAATAGGGATCCTACTATTTAGGGTACTATATTAGGGTCCCCGATTCTCGGAAACCCCCAACTTGCAGAATGCCACCAGGTGTCTAATTAAGCAAATTGGGGTTTCATAGAATCAGGTGCCCGCTGTTTAAGTATCCTTACGATAAGGATCCTACCACTCAAGGACGAGATTAGGTTCCCCTTTTTGTTCCTATGGGCATCTGTACAGAGATGCACATGCAAACATCGGGAAGACTCAAGATGGTGATTGCCCTAAACCCCTAAACCCTAAATTCACTTCACCAGATGGCTACTGAAGAGCTGCAAGGGTTCCATAAATGGCCACTATAACAGTGTCTAGAAGAGTTTTGTCGGGGGCTAAGGGTCAGGGGCTTAGAGGGGTCTAGGTTTAGCTGTTGGGGGAACTGAAATAGATCGGCACTTCATCGAAGTAAAGTACTCCTTAAGACCTGGCCAGTTTCTTAAGGATTGGTTGTTTAGCAACGATTCAGCGTTGTTTTTGTCAAGGTCTATGTTGCGAGGGAATTTACGTGCTGGTTTGAGGGTGAAGAGAGCACTTTGGGTTCTGGAATTGATGGTTGCTGGGGCAGCTGAGGATTATTCCTCTTTGACATGATAGGCTTTGTCTGTTATTTTGCATTTAGGACTTTAATTAGTTGCTCGCATGGGGTGTTCCTTTTTGTTCGAGTTTGGAACCGCCGCCCCTTGATGCCAAGAGCTTTGGAGGATTAAAGCTTGCACGCGCCCGACTCCCTACCCTAAAGCCCTGGACATTGGTTTACTTTTAGGGTTGCATACGCTTGGGATCTATATAAAGTGCTTGCAAGCTTTGTGTTCTGCAGTCGAGAATGAGATGTTTTTTGGTGTTGCATGTCGGCGATCGGCACGTTGATAACCCGGCCCGGCGTATAATAACACTAAACCCTAAACCCTAATATAAACCCTAAACCATATTATAACAGGGTGTAGGGATTTCGCTAGCTCCCTCTGGGGAGTGCCCTAAACCTTGAGCGCATCTTGTCGGTAGGAGTCGGAGGTTTCACTTACAAACCTCCAAGGAAAGCAAATCTCAGAAAAACAAACACTGTAATAATATAGAGTTCTGAAAGAATTAGAATAGGGTATGGGGGGTATATTACACTATAATTAAGGAACCCCAAAACTCTATTCTAATTATTAGGCCCCTATAGTAAACCCTGAGAAACCAAGAACTCCAAGTGAGAAGCTTCGCGCCCACAAACTCAAAGCCTGCCTTGGAAAACGTTTTAATTCAAGCCCTAAGCTTTGTCGCTAGGGCTCAGGGTTTAACCTGGCTCTCCTTTGGCCCTAACCCTAAACCCTTTTACTTCAAAACCCTAAACCCCTGAACCCTAAACCCCTGAACCCTAAACCCAAACCCTTTTGGCCCTAAGCCACTAAGGACAGCTTAGTCCCAGAGAAGCTCACACGCCCGCCGCTGCCGACGTCAATCCCCCAGCTCAGGTTTTAGGGGTTTAGGGGTTTAGGGTTTAGGAAAAAACCCAGAACCCCAAGATGCGATTGGGCTGCGAGCGTTGGGGGTTTTGGGGCTTAGGGATTCACCCGCCTCTTTGCAGGTGAGTTCATCCTAAACCCTAAGATTCGGTGGGGGAGTCCCTGCCTTTGATTTTGGGGATGGCTGGGGGTTGAGAATCTCAATCTGCATACCCCTAAACCCTAAACCCTAAACCCTAAACCCTAAACCATACATAAGATGTTAGAAGCCTGAATAGTTAGACATGTCTTCTTTGAGGGCTCCGTCGTGTGTTTATAGACGAATGCACCCCAGTTAAGGCCCTCCATATTGTTTACAATCTCACTTGAAAGGTGGGGTAGGGCGAGAGTCCGACTGTGGCTTTCGGGCTGGGATTCCGGATCCTGAACCGCTTTAAGTTCACTGAATTGGGGTCCGTTTTGGGGTCCTTTTTATATGGGTGCAGCAAAATATTTGGTTAGAGAACTAGCCATTTGATATCTAGACTCTGATGCAGTTCGTGGGCAAAGCCAAGTTGGCCCTCTGACTTTCGTCAGATTCGTGGGCTAATGCAAGCTTTGCCTTTGCCCAAGAATGGCGCAGAGTAGTACTTTGCTCAGCTCTTTGGCAAAGCCAGGTTTGCCTCCTAGCTTCGGTCAGATTCATGGGCAAACGCATGTTTTGCCTTTGCCCACGAATGGTCCAAAGCATTGCTTGCGGTGTAGCCAATGGGTTCGTGCGCAAAGGCAACAATGTAGTTGCATCTTGTTGAACGTTCTCCTGTTTTATGAAAGGCATTTCGAAGGTCCGGAAGATTCGCGTCAGCAAAGGCAAAGATCGGGTTGTAGGCAGAAGCCCCATGTGTACAAGAACGCCAGGAGTTTTTGGGAATCCTTGGCCAGTTGCATGGAGCTTGGGGCTTGTTTTAGCAGTTTCGTTGAGGTGCACTGTAAGGGATTAGGGTTTAGGGTTTAGAAGGGACGATACAAGACACAAGGCACCCATAAGAATTCTCTGAAGTCTGCACTGTGGTCGACTCCTACGATGCTTAAGCCCCACCCCCTAAACCCTAAACCCTAAACCCTAAACCCTCGTACTTCTTCACTCTAACGGGGCCACCCCGCTCATTTAGACTGTTCGCGTGGCTACTGTGATAGAGACTGCTGACTTTACGTAACATGCAATAAGTCAGGCGGCCGCTCTGAAACCAGGGTCTTGGCACTACCACTTGACCAACGCTTGTCGAATGAGATCCATAAAAGAAGAGGAGACTTCTTAAAGATTTAGGTTATAAGATGCTGTTTCAGAGTTTGCGTAGATATGTGCTCCATGAGAGAGCCCCTTTGCCTCAACAGTATACACTGGCCCTAGAGTTTCTATACAGGATTCACGGCAACACAGATGTATATGCTATATAGGTGCTTGGAACCTTAAAGAATATGAACGGTCCGAATTTCCACGCGAAAGCCCGGTCTACAGTTGAGCCATGTGTGCGGCTGTCAAAGGTGATGCATGAGGATGCTCAGACAAGGGCTTGCCAGGTACTGTATTGTACTATAACGGCTTATATAACATCAACCGAAGTGTAACATTGTCATCATGAGCATCGCTGGGCCAAGCATAGAAGTTGCGTTCAACAGAGCGGCGCTCAACGCCGTACGCCTGGCACTCCACCTCTGTGCATTTTGCTGTTATCTCGAGCGTGACACACATGGACGTCGATTCGAGTGGCTTTCTTTACGACGTGTTCTTCGTGGGCCATATCTCGTTGTTTGTTTGTCGACTCCCGAAACAAAAAGATTCGTGCAAGCTTAACATATTGGGAAGGGAGACGCTGGGTTTCATGCCGCGATTGATTTTTGAGGTAAGAAGGGCTTTGCGTGCGTGACGCGGCGTCGTGTTAGTCCTGAGTTTGGATAGGGATAAGGTAGAAACATTGTGGGGATGGAGATTCAGGGTACAGTATTGCTTGCAGCAACACGGGGACATCGATTGGATATGCAGCATAACGTCCGCATGTTTCTTCAGTTCCTTGTCTCGCACGGTATGCAAAACCATAATGAGCCCAACCCCAAGCCCTGAACCCTAAAGCCTCTTAACGACTGTCACTGGAGAGCATCAGCCTGTGATGCTGCGCCAAGGCGTAGTCATACCTGGCATTCTTGTTGTGAGTTTCGATGCAGGAATCAACAAACCTTGAAGCTGAAATCTAAAACCTTCAGAAGGAGAGATCTGAGTGTCTGTGAGGCACTACAGCAACACTTTTTCAGCATCTCGCACGAGTGATGCGCTGGCTTAGACCGAGGGGTCAAAGTGGGCAAAGTTCCATGGAAAAAGACAAAAATGCCCAAATAGTTCAACAATTGCCTGGCATCGGCTTGACCAACAACTTTATCTCGATGGACGTGGGGTCTTGCCGGGGTCCTTCACAGATCGAATCAGCTTGGAATTTTCCAACAATCAGATCATGTTCAAGAGGATCCTCGGAGTTTCTAAGGATATCTCGGGGAAGTTTATTCGCGGCATCGTCTGTGCAACTCAGACGTTCTTCCCTCTAATTGTTTAGATTTCATTTCGCCCCACGGTTTTCCATCACATTGTCGCAACGAGCTAGATTCAGGACGGGGCCAATGCCGTTTAAGCCATCTTGAAAGCCACTGAGTTTTCGAAACTGTGCATCTTCAGTTCACAAGCCTGGCCAGAGTGGCCGCCCCTTCTCAGGTTCCCATTCGTGCGAATGTGCACGAATCCTTGAATCCTCCCATAGAATCAGAAGCAAGGTCGGGTTTCAAGAGTCCTAGAGTCTGCACAGCCGTCTGCATTCTCCGGCAGTCCGAACAAAATTCGAAATCCTGCAAAGCCCACCAAGCCCCAAAAGATGTCATTCCCACGAAGTGTCATGCTCTTGTGGCAGCGGTTCTGAACCGCTGAGCCAGACATAGCCAGACAACAAAATGCCAAGCCCTCTATACAAACGTAGAAGTTTGACTTCAAACCTTCTTGGAAAATGAACACCTATAAGCGAGCAAGTAACGTTTGATGTCATCCCTTTTCGCGTAGCATAATCACAAGATTTTCTTTCGATGACCCAGATGTAAGCGTCTGAAGAGTACTTAACAAAACCCTTTTATAGTCATTACAGGACTGTGCTCTGATGAACCCGACAACCTGTAGTTTCGCGCCAAGCTGTTCCATCACACTGTCGCAACAAGCTAGAGCTAGGACGGCGCCACGCAAACGCAAGCTGTTGATCTTTCGTAATGTGGGAGCTTTACGTCGGCAGTTGGCCGTCGAACTCGTCTGACGCTCAAGCTTGACTCGGAGACTTCGTTGGACGAGCGATCGATAGCACCCCGTATCCACTGCTTCCCCGCAGCATGTTTCATCAAGTGCAAAGTTTTGAGTTGTTCGCCAACCCCTAACTACATTGGCAATGCCGGCCCCGGGCTGAGATTGCCATTTCGTTCAGGACATTTGAGCCTTCAGGAGCAGTCTGGGACCCTCAGTTTTCTTGATCCTTCGGCTGGGCACTTCTGAGGCACGTCTTTAGCCGGGTGCGACTGGGTGTTCATGCTTTCAGGAATGTGTCGCTAGGTTTCTTCCTCGTTCTTTTGGCATTCCGACCAACCGTGAATTGCGCTGCAGGCTCTAGGAGAACATATCGCTGAGCTCTTAACAGAATCACGCTACGATAGGGCCTTCATGAACGGGATTAGAATGGGGTTCTGGTGTACAGTACGTCATGTTTATAAGAAGCGACT